ATGGAGTGTCCTGGAGCCGTCGTCGATGTTCCTGGCATCGTCTGGGCCATTAATGCGGCAAAACCTCGTGCAAATTCCGGATTTTGAAACAGAACAGCGTAATCTGGTGTTGGTGGAGCCACGGCTTGCCGTCTAGCGGATTGCCCGGCACTGCGACTGTGGCCGTCTCGTGACGTGTGACCACGATGATCTGAGTGAGACATGGTAGATATGGCTGATACGCACTGTTATGTGAAAAACGCGGAGGTTAACCTCAAATCACTTATGAGGCCCTTCCTCTAGCGCCAAACTGTCGTTATGTAATTCGTAACAACGATGTGATATACGATTAAGGGAGTAATTTGGAATGATATGAACGTAAAGCATGTAAGATTGAACCAATAATGGCCCCGGTCCAAGGTGAACCGAGGTGAAGAGCCGTGAGGGGCTTTTACGTGTTACGTAATAAAGGGTTTACAGTTCGGTCATGTATATAAAAATCGAGAGAGCTTTACAATTGTCACAGGTCCGCTATTTATAGTAGTTTTGGGCTGAGATATTGGGATCTGTGTACTACTTTTTGGAATAAAGTAGCTTTTTATGGGCGGTTCGAGGCAGAGGGTCCCACGTAAATGATGACAGATCTTGTGGAGTAGGAGAGCCTCTCGTAGATGCCTTGTCACCCGCTTAAGGAGGTGACGACCTCGGTTCATGTTGTCCTCGGTGGGTGTTGACCTCGGTAATCGTCGGTCACTTCGGTCTTCGGTGGTTCAGACCGGTTCTTTGGTGTAGATCGGTGCGGTTATGATCCATGTCGGTTTAACTGTTAATCGCGTTTAACAGGATGCTTAAAACTTCTTAACAGCGTCTTGCCGAGTCGGATGATAACAATACAGTTGAAGATATTCTCTTTTTGAAACTATGTTTTTGCAAAATGTTCTTGCATTATGCACTTGAAACTTTGCTTCAGGGACTTAAGGGAACTGTTTGTCTCATTTTGTTGTTGTACATCAGTTCTGTTTACCGGAAAGAAAAGCCTTAGATTAAGAGTATGTGAAAATACTTGTGCCTTTTCCATTTTACAAGAAAATATTCCCTTATGATAAGTTATATTATGTCATTTGAGTATCCTTTATGAAGATGACATGGAATATGCTGCTGATACTGATTTAGCCCATATGCAAATTGTTTAATTGGTTCTTATCAGAAAATTTGATTTGTTAAGCTGTCGAGAGCTGGTTTTGTAAATTGCCAGAATATTTTGTATCATTGTTTATGTTTTGTATAATGCTTGATTTTTCTGAATTTTTTTTGGTAGCAAATTGGAAATTAATTAATTGGTGCATCATGTGAAATAAACAGGATTGTTCATTCTGGTACTTTGAGGATTATTCATCATGTACTTGTAATCCCACTACTAACATATTTAATTGATGATAATATAAGTTTGATTCATTGTCTTAATCCATGTTCACCTTTTGTATATTGAGGTTTGTTGATTTAATCCATGTACACCTTCTGTATATAAGTTTGATAATATAATATAGGTTTGTTCATTGTCATCATGTACTGGTAAAACATTGTAACTCTGTGACATAACCTCTGTACCAGAAGCTTGTAGATAAGCTGATAACATTCAGTATGTAAGAGGTTTGTGCTTTAAAATAGTTCAGTAGTATAATGAGTATTGAGTAGCAATGTATTGATCTCACTGTAAAGATGCCAAAATAGAGATAGCATCTCATTCTTGTTCTGAAGATACAGCTTACTGGGTCATGCATTTTGCTCTACTGGATTCTTTTTCATCAATGAAATTCTTTTATTTCTAACAGTGAGGTGTCAAATAAATAATCCCCCTTATAATGAACCTATGATCATTCTTTATTTATTTTATATTTATTTTACTGTGCATCATCATGTACTTGTAATCCCACTACTAACATATTTAATTGATGATAATATAAGTTTGATTCATTGTTTTTAATCCATGTTCACCCTTTGTATTTTGAGGTTTGTTGAATGAGGTTTGTTGATCCAAATTTGTAGATGGATTCTGTTGCGGATGAATTAGCTGTTATTACCATATTGGAAGAGGTCATTAGTAGTATTCAACTGTTTTTGCTACTATCTATTTATTACTATATTAAATTCATCCGCCCTAGGCGAAGACGTCGACGTGCGTCCAGTGAGCACGTCCTGTTATATCGAGCTAGTGATAGACTTCCCCATCAGATCACTTACATGCGAAGGTTGATAGACGTGAGCGACACTACTTGTGTCGAGAACCTCCGTATGGATCGTAACTCTTTTGGCCGTCTTTGTCACCTTCTTGAAACCATTGGGGGACTTAGACAATCTAGAAATGTTCCACCAAGCGAACAAGTCGCAATTTTTCTCTCAGTTCTTGCCCATCATAAGAAGAACATCACACTAAAGCTTGATTTTGTCAGATCCGGTCGAACAATAAGCAAATACTTTAATCGTGTTCTTGACGCTGTCATCCGACTTCACTCCGTCCTAGCTGTGAAACCGCAGGCAGTTGAGGCGGATTGCGTCGATGCAAGATGGAAATGGTTTAAGGTAACCTAAACCACATTTCACTATGTGTTACAAATTTGTTAGTTGAATGATCTCGAACTACTAATTGTTTGGTACTTATCTTTCGTTAGGGATGTCTAGGAGCACTAGATGGAACGTACATTGACGTGCGAGTCCCTTTGTCGGACAAGGCACGATATAGAACCCGTAAGGGTGATATATCGGTCAATGTACTTGGGGTCTGCGATAAGAATATGAACTTCGTCTACATGCTATGTGGATGGGAGGGGTCAGCTTCAGATAGTCGCGTCTTGCGTGATGCAGTTACTAGGACGCATGGTCTACGTGTTCCAACCGGTACTTAATGATTCTATTACCTAAACACCATCCAACCTTCATTTCAAATTTTACATAACAACTTTCTTTTAAATTAAACATAACACAAGAATTGAATTATTTTTTATAAATGAACTTGTGACACAGGAAATTATTACTTGGTGGATGGTGGATACACAAATGGTCCCGGGTTTTTAGCACCATATAGGGGTGTCAGATACCACTTACAAGAATGGGGTACAGGGTCACGAAGGCCACGAAACTTTAGAGAATTGTACAACCTTCGCCATGCTAAGGCTAGAAATGTAATAGAACGTTCGTTCGGTATTCTGAAGATGCGGTGGGCAATTCTTAGGAGTTGCTCATATTATTCCATTCGAACCCAAAATCGCATTATCATGGCATGCGCTCTCATTCACAATTTCATACGTACATCAATGGCCACTGATCCCATGGAAGCGCTAGTTCCTGAGATATTAGATGATGGAGCCCCCACAGATACGACTGATGATGATTTGATAGACCAGGTCGAGGGTAGCGTAGAATGGACAGCGTTTCGTGACCGATTGGCACAGGATATGTTTCGTGATTGGCAGGATAATATGATTTAGTTTAAGAACTGTTGTTTGAATAGGATAATATGATTTAGTTTAAGAACTGTTGTTTGAATATACGATAGTCGTTCAGTTGTCTACTCATTTAGTTTAAGAACTGTTGTTTTGGACCCCCACATTTTCCACATACCTGTTTATTTTGTTGTGCGTGTTTGTTTTTAAATTCGTTTTATCCAGTGAAACGAGTATTGTTTTTACATTTTAATGTAATGTGTTTGGAATTTAATTTAAGCATTGTTTGAACAGTGAAACGAGTACTGTTTTTTTTTTATGCAATTTTTATGTTAACAATGTAAACCAATCCTCTCGTGTAAAAACTCTTGTTTGAACAGGTTTACTGATGGATTACTCTTGTTCACAAGAGAGTGGCCGGGCTTCCTCCTCCAACACATCAAGACGACGTGTTTGGAGCCCACGTGAGGAGCGTGCCCTGATAGATATCTTGAAAGATATGGTTCTCGAGGGTTGGAAGGCAGATAATGGCTTTAGGCAAGGA